TGTACGTTCTCACAAAAAATGTTGAAGGATAAAGCGGTGTTGTTGAAGACTCTTTGGTTTCTTTCCTTCCAAAGATTCCAAAGTATCACTCGAGCCACAAAGGTTGTGAAATGCGGATTTAGTGGAGAACATCTTTCCTCCTTCAAGGTTCCACTCATTCTTGTCCTCCCCATTTCCAAACCGAAAGAAAGCCAGCAAATTCACGAGCCGAATCCAGTTAAATAAGTGAAAATGCATATTTGAAGTTAAGGATCATCCCATACTGAACAATATTTCAATCCCCATGTAAAAAAGTGATATAGGATAATAATGTAAAAAGAGTGATATAGGATAATAAAAACTTGAAGAGTTAAAGAGAGATCGTCTTCCTCACGCTTCTAGAAGCGCCCTAAAAGACTTTATAATAATCCCAGTCCTGGGGTTATTCTCATACCAGCGTAAATGACTTTTGGCACATTATTCCTATCACAAGATTGAACAAATTCATTCCTAAGGTCCTTTCTGAAATATCAATGTGTTTTGTCTAACACAATTACTAGCAATCAATATGCCTGTATCTCTAATATATAAATTGTTGATGCCATTGTAATAGCCAACAAACCAATCAAAGATTGAGAGAACAGATCCTCGACACACAATCTAGGAAGAGCCTATAGTAAGGTGGTTTAGGATTCTGTGTATTTTTTTATGCCAAGTGGTTACAACAATAAGTGCATTTCTTACAAAATTTTCAACAGGTCTAATGGCATGCCTAAAAGTGAAGTTCTGGTGGGGGGACTAAGATAGGATGACTCGGTTTCTCCCTTACCCTTTTCTCACAACTGATGTGTTGGGCAACTCAATCAACAGAAGGATAAACATTTAATAGGCACCATAAACGACCTAGGCCAGGATCAAGTTGCCGTAAGCCATCTCCTATGTGTATATGATACAATTCTGCAATTCTTATATGACCCAAGAAGCCAAGATTCATGTCTGCACCCAAGATCCATGTTTGTCCACTAAAATATGGTTCAAGCTCCAGGATGCTCCACTCAAGATCCAAGTTTTTCCATGAAAACTCACTACACGGCTCAAGCTCCAGGCTGCTCCAATGAAGCTCACGACTACACAATTTTGAGTGCCTTTTTTATGTAATTTTTTGGATGAGAAACAATTTCATTGATGATATGAAATTACAAAAAAGGGGAGGACCCCAAACAATGGAGTTACAAAATGGGTCTCCAATTGGATAATAGATTAGATAACTATAATGATCATAGTTTTTATCCTTGAATTTGCATCAAGCCATCAATTTTAGAGTTCTACAAGGAATCAGGGGTAGCTAATGGCTCCTTGTGTGGCCTAGAGATTGCCCTATTTGTCTTTAGAGGTTTTTCCTTTATTATTTTAGTGCTTTTTTGTCGACTTTTCGATGTACATTGTGGGCTATTTAAAGCCTTGTTTTGAGTCTTGTAACACACGTTATTTTGAGAATAAAACTTCACTTACGACCTTACTTGAACAGATCTAGTTGTACCTGTGTATCCTAGAGTTCTAAAGAATACAACTTCACTTTGCCTCCCCTTCCTCATGCAATTCTTGGGTAAGTTTTTCATGCCTAGTGTAAGTTTTGATTGATCACAAAACCTCTAGAGTGTTTCAAACTTAGGATAAAAACTTGTTTCTTATCTCTAACCAACCCCTTGGTTTGTTCTGTTGTTGGGAGGTCTGACGTTTGTGAGTTCAGGGTTCCTAGCTCCAATTCATCAAGATTTTTTTTAAAGGAAAAATCAATCTTTCATTTGAGAAACATAAATGAATATACAAAGGGAGTAAAATAACTAGCCCCACAAGAAGAGCCAAAACCCTAACCAAGCAAAGATGGACTTCAATCCAAATATATTAAGCCCTAACTTATAATTGCAAAGATCGAGAAATAGATGCCAAAACAAAGAGGTATTAAACCTAACAACCTCCTACACCTTTTTTCAAAGTCTTTTTATCCTTCTAAAAGTTCTACCATTCCTCTCAAGCCAGTTCCAAATACCCCACACTGACACCACGACAAGAAAACAAGCGTGCCAGAGGATTATGCACTTCTCTCATAAGGAAGCGTTCGAAAGAACCTCCTCGACCATACAAAAACAATCTCTATTATGCACCTAGCAGATCCCAAAAGTCCCCAATGAGGGATTCCAAAGAGCTTTAGAAAGCTCACACCTCCAAAGGATATGATTAAAATCCTAAGCCTGTTTACACAGAGCACCATTGCATGCCCAACACAAAGGAAGAGTGCCTTTGATTTCTAAATACAGTTCAAGTGTTCACTCTCCCAAGTAATGCCTACCACACAAATAATTTAACCTTCTTGGAGATCTTTACCTTCCAGAGATGGGCAAAAGAGGGCGAGGAGGCTCCCAGGGGGAATAAGGGACACAAAGGGCCTAGAACAAGGAACTACAAGAAAAATCACCAAATGGGTTGGGGTTCAAAAACAAAAAAAAAGAGATTAAAGGAGATACTATATAGAAACTTCAAAGGAAGTGAAGACTTAAGCTACAATACAAGTGCACTACTGCCAGTTTCTATGTAGTATCTCCTTTAATTAGAAGACTATTGTTAAATGGTCAAATGCATGGGAGGCTACTCATCAAGTGAAATAAAATCAAAGAATTTTCTACAACAAGATCTCAATTGATACTTGGGAAGAGATTAGAATTATAACTTCAACTTAGAGTTATCTGTCCCCCCAACCCATTGTTGTAATCATGACAGTTTTTTACTTATTCGGACGCAGATGCTTAGTTTTTGTAGGGTGAGTAAAAAAGCACTTCCAAAAAATGCTGTTTTTTGACTCCTCGGGACAGAGAGAAAGAATAGAAATTTTAAAATTCAGTGTAGAGACTATTTTCCAGATTAGAGAGAGTCTCTCTTAGACAGCTTTGCGAAGTTATTCTTCTCTACTATTTTTTTGTTCATTTTAATTGGGGTTTCCTTTCACAATCCCCTAGCTAAGGGTTTAGGACACGGTGTTCATATCTCCCAAAAAAAAAAGAAGCTACCAGGGGTGTTTTCCCCATCATATTCAAGAATTTCTAATACAAATTTGAAATTACTTGCCTCAATTCGAAAAGCATGAACTTCATGGTGTCACTATTTCCAAAATCTGGCGTGAGAGGAACCATAGACTTTTTAAAGGGACGTTTAACCAAGCAGTCAACTGGAAGATATTATTTTGTATATAGTTTCTAGAAAATAACTTTTACCCAAACTCTTCAGTAACTATTTGACTCTAGTAAGGCGGTAGATTTTTTTTATCTTCCATGGTTCTATTGTATCTTTTCAAATTAACATATGTTTTTAACTTGCATATAGTTTCAAGCTCAAAAATGAGCACTATAACCTATGATATTTATAACCAAACTGCATATGAACAAAGTTATAAGATAAACGAGCACCGAGACACTTAAAAACCAAATACACACTTGACAAGCACAACAAATTCTCCATTTACAATATATATAATATTTAGGTAATACCAAATAGCAAAATCTTACACTTTGAGCCTTATGCCCAGATCTTGCAAAAATGTGCAGTATGACTTCCGTAAATAAGTCTCCTTCTTCAAGTCAATGCCATCTCTTCTTGATGGTGAATTTTCTTCAATTTCCTTTCTGGACATATACCAACGACCTGCTTCTTCTTGCATGTCTTGAGAACCTTTTGAGGACCCGCCATCAGATGTTCTATGATGTGTTGACTCGAATGCTAGAAATCCAGACATGTGTAGCTTCTAAAAATCTAGAATAATGGCAAGTTAATCGAATGAAATCCCTTATGCAGCTATTTCCTGCTATACTTATGCAGCTATTTCCTGCCAACAAGACCAATATGAGTAAAAATTCAGACAAAAATCACAAAAAACCTAAGAATTGACAAAGTAAGTGGGACCCACAAAAAATGCTAACAAATAAGATGCATGCTTATGCAGATTTAGGGGCTGCTTTGAAAACCATTCTGCCTCTGTTTTCAGAAAAGTTAATGAAAGTTGTGATGGAAAGTTAATTTTGGAATGAATGACTTCATTTGAATAAATAAAAAGTCATATGTGACAACACACTAAAAGAAAACAAAGCAAACGCAATTGTTAAGAAACAATTATCCCAACATGAGAACAAACTAAGTTGGGTCGCTATACCCCTAAAATGCCGACAAAACCTGAAAGAAAACAAATTATCACTCCTTCATACCTCTATAGTCCTTTTCCTATGGGTACCTTGAATTCCTCCACTCATACAAACTTGGGGCTGTGTTCTGCCACAAGTAGGGGGTGTAAATGAACTTGAATCCATGACATGGATACTTAGTTGAATCTAAGGGCATCTACCGTGCCACTATACCCAATCCTTATTACTTTCCAAATGCTTCTCCAAGTGACAAGATGTTGAGACCCAGACCATGGTTCCCAATTAGTTTGTACTTCATTTTGAAGTAGTTCAGGAAATATTAGGACTCACTCCTATTTATAATTTTTTTTTTTTGGGATAAGAAACAAAGGGAAAATATTCCAAAAACAAGACCCAAAAAAGGGGAAAGACAACCTAAAGGCAGAGGTAGAGAGAACCCTCCCAAAAAGACTATACAAATACATCTTTCCAATCTTGTATAATCAAGAGAAGACCATGATTACAAAAAACCTTCTTGTGGATAGAAGCACACCAAGAAGCCGAATGCTTAATATTCACACAAAAAGAATCCACCGAAGCAATTTTCTCATCAAAAAGTCTACTATTCCTCTCTTCCAAAGGAGCCAAAGTAATGCCTGCACCATACAATTCCAAAGGATAGAAGCTTTTCCTTTGAGGGTGGTTCCACCAAAACCTTCTAAAATAAAGTCATCAATTCTCCTTGGAGGGCAGAAGGAGATATCCAAAAGGCACGCCACATAACTCTACATTTGAGAAGCAACGAGCAATGCATAAATAAATGGTCCACGGTTTCAGAATTCTTCCAAGTTCCAACATATACCACAAACGTTAGGGGAGAGAACCCAGAAGCTTTCTCTGAACTTTGTCGGCCGTGTTACTACCCCTACAGAGAAGGGTCCAAAGGAACACCTTGCCTTTTTCGGGACCCTAAAACTCCTACTTATAAAATGTAAAAGCAAAAAATCTCATAACGAAGAATAAAAAGCCATGTGCTAGGAAAACTCTACTCGGTAGAACACAACCCAGTCTCCTGTAATTCAGAGGTTTTTTAAATACAACCGAACGCCAAGGAGAATCGTGTTCAACTGGAATACTTCAAAGCCACTTCGGCATATTTTCTTCCAGAATTTATGCTCCATGTACCCGAATATGCTCCTTATCTTTCTTCCATTCCCTAGCATCGAGTTATTATCCTCTGATGAATTTCACAACCATAGGTCATGGATGCGGATAATTAGAAAGCTTACCCAATTTGCAACCCTCTATGGGCAAAAGCCCTTCCAACTCTCCCCTATTCCTTTTTCGCATACTTCCAACAATTTCTTACCAATTAAGCAAAAAAAATTAACTGTGTCTCGAAGATGTAGAGCATATGAAGAGATGGAAAAAAAACCCACTTAAAGAAAAGCCCGAAAGACGAAAATACAAGCTTTCGATCTTTACCTTTGCATTATTCACTCTTTCCACGAGATAAGCTCAAAATTCGCGAAATCTGAGAGCTTTTCTCCCTGAAAAACAGTAGAACGATGCCATGACCGAGACGGAGGAGTGAAATCGAGGAAAACGGATTGAACCCAGAAAAAAAAAAGAACAAAAATTCAAAAACCAAGAGATTAGA